TTATTTGTAAAGAAGTTTAATTGGATTTTAATAAAGATAGAGACATGGCCTTACCTTTGAAGATTAAAAAAAAAAAATATTAGATTCAATATTTATTAGGTAATCCTAAAGGATTACATAGCAAAGTATTTTGTTCCTTTTTAGAAGTAGATTGTCATGAATCTATAAAAACTTGTAAAGAGATAAAAGTTTGTGAAATAGCTGATATGAATAAAGTATCAACTCCATATTATAATGTTAATCTTGATACTGATTTAATTCTTCATGATAATAATAATTTAAATGAAGAAAATCAAATTAAAACTAATACAATTGGAAAATAATTTTCAAATTTTTATTATTTTTACAAATTTAATTATAATATTTTATTTATTAATTTATTTATTTTATTTATAGAGAATATATTGCAACAATTAAAGCTAATTGTCTTTATAATAATTATATATACAAAGAAAATCCAATTAACCAATATTATAATATTTTAATAAGTGAAAATCAAGATAAAAAGACTTCTAATGAAGAATATATTATTCAAAAAACTTTTTCAAAAAAGAAAATAGAAATTATAAAACCTTTTATTAGTTGTGATAAATAATATCTAGGTGACAAAAATCATCGACTACAAAAAATAAAACCAGGTTATGATATTGAATTATTAAAAGATTTATTTGAAAATAATGGAATAGTATCAACATATAAGGTAAATAAAAAAATAATATTTTATAATAATTATTTAAATTATTAATTATTTTTTATTTTAGAATGATTTAACATGCAATACTATTTTTTTTGTTTCTTTAAATAAAAATCAATATCATATAAATAATTTTAAATTTAATTTTTTTTATATATTAATTATTTAATTTAATATTTTATTATATTAATTTTATTTTATTTATTTTTTAAGTTCAAAACATATTTAGCAATATAAAGCAACAAAATTAAAATTAAAAAGATTAAATTGTTAAATAAAATTTATTAAATATGAATTACATAATTTAAAATCATACTCTTTTATTATATTATATTATAAGGAGGTTCATAATCATTATCCACCTCCACCTGGCAAAATTTAATTAAATATTTCAATCAATTTTAAAAAAATTAATTGAACAAAAAACTGAAAAATCAATATATTTTAGTGTTAAAAATATTTGTTCAGGTTAGTATTAATTATTTGTTATTAATAAAATTAAATTTATTTTTTAAATACGCAGAGAACCAAGATAATGACAGTCAGACTCAACGTACAGAGTAGACTATGGTACTCTTCGCGGCTGTGAGAACCGGTCTTAAAATGGTGAGTGATTCTGCAGAAGACTATTTGTCCAAATCATCTTTA